TTAAACTTGTTTGGGCAAACTTATTATTATAGTCTTTCTCCTGAAATTATAATAAAAACAATACATAGCTTTTATTAGACAGATAAATATGATCAATCCTGAGTTACCGGTTGTTCAATATACTTCTTATATAGTTACTTTTCAAGTTGACCCCTAGATATTTGACATCTCATACGACCTGAACAGTAGGTTGTTGGTAGTTTGAACATATAACCAACAGGAAAATTGTAGCTATCATGTTTCTTTATATCATCTTGATAATTAAGATTCAAAATCTTATCTAGAGACTCGGTTATAGCTTCAAATTTCCTAAAACTAAGAATCAACGTTCAGAATGCTTTGCTGATTACTATGTGTTAACTGTCTCTTTATATTAACACTCAATTTACAACATATCTACGTAGACATTATTTTAATGGCAAAACTACTCTTAAAAAACAATATTTTAAATTTAACAAAGGAAGGTGTTATTGTGGGGATCACATCTGAGTTAAACCGAGGTTAATGTTGAGCAAATTCATATTTAGATTGCATCAATTGTTCTAGAAAAGGGGATCTACTTAATTGGTTAATGTAGTGTTAAAATCAACTGAGCCAACAAATATAAATGTATTTTAGTTTTATAAATTATATCGCATGATCTACTGGCAACATTTGCATTTCTAACTTCAGACTTAATGAATGTGCTTTAAAAAATAGAGTATTTTGTTGTTTTACCTGTGCTTTTTTCTGTTTAGAGTATCTTTTACTTTCTAATAGAATTTTAGTCTATTAAGCCCTAAATAATTAATTAGATGTAAAAGTCGCTTGATCATGCACACTTTATGTATCTGCAGATGTATGCAGCCAAATTTATAATGAGAAATATAATGCTGAACTACAACAACATGTTTGTGCCTCATATCAAATATTTAATTCTATTCTTATAAGAGGTACTGAAAACTTAATAATTTTGAGCATTACGTTCTGACTTAATGTTGGCGATATACTCATAATGTCTTTCTCTTGTCCCAAACCTTAACAGCATTGCAGATACCTTGCACCTAAAGTTCAAATCATTACGTAAATTTTACATCCGCGCTTTTGAATCTGCTTAATAATATTAAGCAAATGATATCTGCTAATAATGTACAAGAGGTTGTTTTCTTATTCATAGCCACAAATATTTTTACTTAAAGCTGATATTTCTTATTATAATTCATAACTGCGAGCTTGCATCGCTATCAATACTACTTAATAAAGTTTTTGTTGTTGTATTATTCTTATTGCTTACAGTGCCTCTTTTTTGTGATTATACTTATGGTACTTGTAAAGCATTAATCTTAAATTTCTGCCTCTAGTAACATTGCGAGAATGTTTATTAAGTAAATTCAGGCAGCAATACCTGATTTCTCAATCTAGATCTTTGTCGTTAACAAGTTACTTCTATCGAGCATGTTTTGAACTAAGTTTCATCAAATCAAAGCGAAATTTGGAGGGCTTAAGCATTATTAAAAGTAAATTTTGCAAAACTAACTGCATGTGTTCTATAGCTACACATCTTAATTAAACTAATTATTATAAAAGTAAACTTTGTAATTGTTGCCCAGATGATGCTATTGTAACAGCAAAAAATTAAACAAATTTTCAAAAACATATATAATTTGTTGAAATAAAATACATTCAGATATTTTATTCATGGATTTCTCAAACTTAAGCAAGATAAATCCATTCTGAATTATAACTCTTGCATTGTAAATTGCAAATCCAAAAAAACAGCCATTTTAAATCTCCTTATGTTGTTGAAGTTTAGTAATTTGTTTGTGGATATTTTCATTTCTGTTACCTACAACTATAAATTGTATAAAATGAGTTGCTTCACTTGATTATTAAGATTGTATCCTGGATTCCAAATTCAGGCTCTATCAGAAATTGCAACATTAGATTCATAATCTCCTGATGGCTATTCTATTAAACAGATTCACAAAAATTATGCTCCTAAAGCCTCACCCAATATACAGATATGTGCTCAAAATGAACTACTGGCAATGCTTACTCGTGATGTATGCCTAAAGTTATTTTTAATTGACGCCCTAATCTATACGATTAATTATTCTAAGAGTGCTCTTCTAGATAGAGCACACCTTCTTGTTTCCTTTTAAGAGTTTAAACTTGTTAGGCCTCAAATTGTTTCTTAAATCCATTTAATAAATTAATGTATATTTAAAATATCTGCAGTTGCTTCGACTAAAACTTGAAAAATGCTATCTTTATCTAGAAATCAGAGGATTTTATTTGGTCTACCTTCTACCGTCCTTCATATACTCAATTGTTTAAATCCATACTAAGTTTATTTATCATCTCCAGATATTAATGTTGTGAATTTGCTTTTTAATGTCATTCTTTTAAGGCAAATTTGGATATATAGGCTAAATGTAATAATGAGATGCAAATTCCACCTAAATTAAATATGTACACATTAAAATGCATTTATTAAAATTATAATTGCTTAATAAGCATGCGAAGTTCTCTTGCTTTCATAACTGATATTTTAAACTTCTATGACAATAAGCATGGAGATGTGTCAAAGGATATGCAATATATCAGACTGGAATACTCCATAGTCTGGAATTCCGAATTCGAAATTTGAGCAGTATTTAAGAATGCAGATGGTTTATGCTAATACTATCCTAGACTAATAAAATATTTGAACTATTTTACTTGTTCAGTAGAGACTATGCAGACCTTGAAATATATTTACTAATTTGTTTATTGTACTTCTCTGTATGCTATAAAATAATTATCCTCAGGTAGAAATTGAACTTGCACAAATTACTAATGGAACATAGCAAATAATACAAGTAAGATTGTCATTAGAAGGATGATCCAAAACAGTTTATTATTGAAGAATCATATGAATAATTCCTGCCTTCAAAATTACAATTTGCAAATGGTATAGACATTAAGAGACTAATTAATTATTGAAATACTATAAAACTTCCTCCATCTCAAAACTCAGCCACTTCTAACAGCAGCCATCATATATCTGATGCAATGATGAATATGTTTAGAATTTTAAATAAACGAGAATCATTGCCGAATTATAAAATAATATGCATCAACTAAAGAAATTTATTAATTATAATGGCAAAATTTGCTTCAAAATTGTTGTAGCCCACCTTAACCTTTATACTTTTTGCAGTAAATGGTAGCATTTTTAAATGCAAACATGGCTGTGGCTACTATGACAATTTCAGTAAAGTTTGCCGTATACTAGTGATTCAAGCATTCTTTTCTTTTGCTTTAATGCCTCTTTAGCTCCCATCTAAATGAATTATATAAGCAGCAACTGTGTGTTTAAATTACTATATTCAGCAGCTGTATCTTAACCTTTCGAAATATTTCTGGATATTTTTTACATCTAAAATATTTTGGAGACCTTATGTATGGCCCTACTAGAGCGCTCATCTATCTTTACTACATATATAATTGTAGTGTTGGTTTAATGTCAAATAATATGTTGAGTTGTTACCTATAGTATTTAGAGCCTACCACTTAGATGGCTGCTTTAAATGAGAAAATATTAACACTTGCTCATAAAGATAATGTCCAAAGGTTGCTTAACTTGTGGATATGAGATACTTTATCTCTAAATGTACTCCATCAAATAATTCAAGTAAGATTATATCTTTTTTGGATATTAAATTCATTTCCTTAGTGTTTTATATTTGACATATTCTCCAGCTACAGCTTGAAAATTGCATCGCTTGATATTATCTTGCTATTATATATCTGCAGATGAATTTTTTCAAAATTGTGATGGAAGCTCTTATGTTGAGCTACCAATAAATTTAAGAAAGCTTTCTTGAGACAATTCTAATTCTTGAAGTACTTCCAAAAAGAAAATCATTTATACTACGCACCGAGGACAGAGAATACTCTTCATCAACTGAGATCTATGCTGCTCTGGATCAGACTCATTTAATTAGTTCATATCACTTGAACAATGGTTGACATTTGATGTAAAAGGAATTGTTGAAGTTTCTCTTGAATAAATAGAATAATGAAGCTTCAATGCTGATGACCTTTTATATGGTATATCAACAAACAATGTAGAAACCTCAGTTTCTTTTTAAGAAAATTCAATAGAGTTTGTAATTTTCATGAATTCAAAAATTCTCTTCAAATATATTTTATCACTTCTTATTATTTTTAATTAAAGCTTTGTGCTAAACTTTAGTATAATTTGTAAAATCTTGATAACTTCATGATACTCTTCAACAATACACTTCATATTGTAATAATTAAACTTGTTCTATCATGATACCATCTCATATATAACTTGCCTTCCTTTTATAAGTTTATCTCTAAGATCCAAACCTATTGAGATAATTGCTCTATTAGCTATAATGAGAGCTATATTATTGAAATTACACGTGTATGTTAATGAAGGCAATTATAAAAATTATGCAACTATACTATATTTTGAGCCGCTTTAAGCATTAATAGGTTGCAAGCAATTATCATATTCCTGATATGCTCATCTGATATAAATGGAAAAAATTATATAATTTATTCTTATGGTACTGTTTTAGAGGTGGCTTCTTTGTTAACAATAAAAGTTCTATATATAACTGTAGTTGTTATTTAGGGATAAGTACAAAGCTTGTGGAATTCCCTTGCTTATAAATCTCGTGTTCCAAATTTATTACAATAACTGATGCCAAGGCTAAATGGTAAGCGCACAATACCATTGTCTCATATTTCTACATAATTTAACTAATAAAACAATCATTACAATCAGGTATTAGGAGTCTAGTTAAAATCAAATATAGTTTTTTTCAGATATTGAATTTTACAAATTAGGTATTATTAATACTGTTCTGATGCTTTAGATTCTTCATAATAATAGAAAATAGGAGAATTTTCGAAATAACTTTCGTTAGTGAGTGGTGAAATTTTGGTGATTAAAAGCATTTGTAAATATATGAAATTTTAAGATTTAATGCTGTTAATAATAATCATTTTTATTTCAATTCTTTATATCTTTCTAATATCAAACTTCCTTTTGATTTAAATAATGATGTTAGATCTTGACCTTAATAATTTACAAATTCTCCTTTGAAAATTAAAGCATCTTAAGCTTCCAAAATTGGATTTCGACATGTTCTTTGTATTGTAAGATCAATGTTAGCTATAGAATAATATAAATAAATACCCTGTCTTAACAGCCCATAAATATATAGTATTATCTCCACTGCCAGATGCTAATGTAGTACCATCGGGAGTGATTTTTGACTGACTTTATTCTTCTTAATGACCTTCTAATTTGGCTTTTAATTATCCTGACTTAACATCCCATAAATGAATAGACTTATCCAAACTACCTGACGCTAACATAGTACAATCAAGAGGGATGAAACAAAATCTAAATTATCCTGTCTTATCATCCCTTAAACGGATCTACCAATCCCAACTACCTGAAACTAATGCAGCATGATCAAAACTATTAAAAATAAAATATTTGAAATTAATGGATCAAATCAACCAAATGAGGCATTAATAGATAATGCGGGAATAAAAACTTTTTAATCATAAATTTTGGGATGATGTCAGAGATTGGGCATTCTGAGGGTATTCCTCCTGAGCCTTTCTTAGTGTGGAAGAAGAGGAAAAGGCTTAGAACGGATAAAATTACATCTAGAATGGTCAAAAGTGATAAAAGGGAAGAGAGTGAGATTTAAAGACAAGAGTGCTTCCCATGGACAGGTCAAGCCTAGCAGCTCAGAGGTGGATATTGAGATATGTGTCATTAGTTGGAATATCAATAACCAAAGCTTGTATTAGATCAAGAAGGAGTTCTTGGGAATGAGGTCCCAACATTTTGATAATACAAGAACGAAAGAGAGAGATAGAGAATCTAAGAAAGGGGATGGGACCAAGAAGAGAGAATGAATACTTCCATATTTTATCAGATTTGATCAAAAGGAAGAGGAAAAATGGGAAGTTGGAAGCGAAGAATAAAAATTAAGAATTTGTTTAATATTGATTATATTTTATAAACAAGGGGCATCAGAAAATGGCAGAAAGTGAAAACGGATATTATGAGGAATCAATAATCTTCAATTCACAATGATTGCTACATCATCTGCACTTAATAAACTCTTAAGAGTTTTCGATATTTTAGGAACCTCTCTATTGTTTCCTTAAATCTACATTTAAATGGTCTTCTAAATTATCAAAGTTGTTTGTTAAACTTAAAGAGCTTAACAATGAGCCTTTCACTCTATTTTGAAAAGAACTCTTTCCTTTGTTATTGAATCATAGATATACAAAGGTTACCATAAAAGTCAAACATACAGTCTAATTTATCTCTCAGCATGTATTTTTTCTTCATGATTTTATTTTGGAATCTGTTATCAACAATTTTTGTATGGATTTATTAAATCAAAGAAAGTAATATTCTTTTATTTGCCTTTCTTCCTCAAAGACAATATGATTTTTAACAGTGTGCATCTAAATTCCCATATCTTCAACAAACTGTTCCCTATCAGGAATTATATAAATATTCACATGTTCCTTTAGCGCGAGAGATATATCTATTCTAAAGTGACTCTAAATAATGATTGATCTCATATCATAAATTCTTTCACTATCTTCTGTCACTTTATTCAATAAGATTAATCTATGCATCAGGCAATGTCGTACTTTCTCCACTCCTCTATGTTAAACGACGTCTTATCAACATTCCCTCACTCCTTTATTAACATTCATTGGAAGTCTCACCGTGTTTAATGTATGGAGTCATTAGAGATTATCTGTTTCAATTTCTCAATAAATTAATGTACAATAATTTTGTAATTTGTTATATACTACTAATTCCCTATTATCTATATTAATAACGCAACCTTCTTTATCTATTTGTGTTGAGTGAAAAATGAACATTTCTTCTTGTTATTTCTTTTCATATCCATAATTTTCCCTTAAATTCTTATTCTACATCGTATTTTATAGGTTACCAAACTTAATTAATTTATCTTAGATGACTTCTTTATGCACATATTTAAATAATAATGTCTTCCTTTTCAAATGCGATTCTTTTGTTTATCAAATCTGATACCGCATGAACTTACTTGAATCCCTTTAAAAAATGGGTTTG